GCTTTTTAAAGCTCTTGCTATCTATTATCTGTTATTATTTGGATTTTGAACAAAATTGATGGAGTATGAGCCAGTAGAGGAATCTTGTTTGATCTGGAAATTTTCTGTAGAGAGTCCAAAAGGTCGGAGAACTAAGTTCCCGAGGTCTTTTAGTTTCCCTGCAATGCAAAAAGAAAACCACAAATGAATACAGGTGAAGAGGAGAAGCAGGGAGACCCCGAGCCATCCTGTCTTGCTACCTGATTACACAATATTGACAGTATCTCAGTGGTTAAAGAAACGCCTGCTTTAAAAACATGAAACCCTCTAGGAGACTGCTCGCCCCCCCAGGGGTGCAGTCACTTTAATCTGAGAGCTGTGCTTGTGCAGCCGTAAGGGAGGGAGCCGCCACTGCTCCTCTAGATCAAAGATCCTGTCCACACTCGCCACAGCCCCCAAAGAACACAGGTGTTTAGGTCCAACAATGGGAAAACCAACTGCTGCTCCAACTGAGACTGGAGACAACTGCGGAGCCTCGTCTACCTGGCTGCTCTCCCCATCAAGTCCAGATGTGTGACCAGAATTGGGATTTCCATGGTGCTTCGATGGTTTAAGGGCAAGGACAGAGTAGTGAGATTAGGCGTGTGGTAGAAAACAATGCTTTCCAGACTGGTTTAACTTTCTTGCAGATCTATTTCCAGTGAAGATGAGAAAAGGGGTAGAGGGGGACAGAAATTCTTTATATTCAGAGATACAAAGTTCCTAACTACTCTACTCACTGGTCTGCAGTTCTTGTCATTCTGAGGCCTCCTCTTTAAAGGTCTTTCTTCAATCTCATGCTGCGAGTGTTTTGCTATTGGTATAAAATTGAACCCCAGAGCTTGGCTGTGGGCAGGGGAAGAGCAACCCCCTCCAGGACAGAGCATTTTGTAGGGAAAGCTTTCAGACCCCTGCAAGCACTCAGCATGGGATGAGCATTGACTCAAGTCCTCCAGTGACCTCTCCAAATTAACTCCACCTGTGTTATACCATTTCCAGGTCAGCCAGAGAGGAAAGCTGGCACGGAATGGCTTGCGGGAGACTTGACAAGGTCCGAAGTCGAGTGACTTGCAAGAGCACCTATTCTGCAATGTCTGTTTTCTAGTTTTTCGTGACCACCCAAGGAGGGAAGACAGCATTACTGAAATTCTTTCTTTTCTCTCGGAGCAAGGTTGCTAAACTCTACCTGACTTCTCACTGATGACCCAAACCCTATCCTGGCCTTTCATTACCCACCTGAGTTGCCTATATATTTACCTCCCACTCATTAAGCACACACTCAAAAGTGGTTGTTAAACTCAAGGGGGCCTCAGGAACACCTAAAACTCAGACTGCTGCGCCATGCTCCTCCATTTCTGATTTGGCAGTTATTGAAGAAAATATGTAAAACAGAATGAAAAATTCTCCTAGAATCCAGACTTTGTAAAGTCATGGAAGTTGTATGAACCCTGAGATTATTGCTGTAAAATAATCTTTAACCCAAAAACATTCCCTGAAGTCATCTTAAAACCAAACGACAGTTTAGTTATAGAGTAAATAAAGAATGCCTTCTTTTCATTATTTTCTTTAGAGATCTGTTTACAGAATCAAAGTGACAAGTGCAATCTATAAGAACAGACAGAAACTTAGGGGGCAGCGACTTTTTATTAGTGAAAGAATAACTTAGAAAAGGAGGATGAGAAAGGTTATCCAACTAAAAAATGTCATTCATGTCACTGAATTGTACAGGCAGAAACTTGAGCTGTGGCACACTTTTACTGTGTATATTCTAAATATATATATATATTTGTTTGTTTGTTTTTTTTAAAAAGACAAAATACAAAACCTGGGAAAAAAACTAGGGGTCAGTTCCAACTCTACAGCACACTTCTCGGAGAAGATCAAAGACTGCAGCCTTCAATATTATGTCACCAATGGCCCAATTGGCAACAACATGATTGCTGGGGAAAAGACTAAAACGGTCAATGACTATAGAACTTGAATTCACAATCAACACACTTGTTACTAGCAGTCAGGAGATCAGGACATGTATTGCACTGGGAAAGCCTGTAGTCAGGGGTCTCTCCAAACAACTGTTTGACAACTGAGCAGAGAAGCTTTAGGGAGTCTAAAAACACCTGATCACTTTTACATTTAGATTTTTTTTTTTTTAAAAACTATTTAGGTAAGTGTTCTATGTAAATAAAAAGTAAGTATTATGAAATAAAAACAAATTTGGACTACCAATCCTGAAGTCTGGTTTTTATGTTCTTTAAATGCATCTGGTTATTAAGATCACTACACATTTGAATTTATAAAAACCCACATAAATAAAATGTTACTTCTTTTTTTTTCCTATGCTGTGGTGCCAGTATAGAAATTTTTAAACAAAGGGTTCTATTGTTTTCTGAAAAATGAGAAAGCTTTAGATCAGCCACTGGTAAACTAAAAGATCAATGATCAGTATCATCAGTTGCTCAAAAAATAGTTCTGAGCCTCCGGGGTTCCGGGGTGTTCAAGGCATCTGCATCCCTCCTCCCGCAACACCAAACCATGCATACCCTTAAGCTTTTGAAAGCCTTCTTTATCCTGGCTGTGAAGGCTATGGCTTATCATCCCAGAGCAGAGGACACAACACTCTGATCCCTTCTCTGAAATCTGAAGCCATCAGGATTGTTCTCTCCAGTTAATGGGACTGATGATCTCCCCAAGTGCCCTCTCCTGTTCTAATAATGGGTGACATGTGAGAAAGGAAAGTGCAAAACCAGACCTACCCCTAACAACTCCTACTAGAGTTTTCTTTCCAGGGAGGGAGGTACATAGTTCTTTCCAACAGAAAGGAAATCAGTTACAGAGAGAGAAAGCGTCAAAGAATAATGAATAATGTGATTATAAGCATATTTTGCTAGATAATTATATCACTTCATAAATGCCAATGAGAAACAGCGCTCTGCATTATATGCATTTAAAAATAATATTCCTAACAGCTAGTTCTGCAGCAGAAGCCATCATTCCCATAGGAGCACTAAAAGTTATGTATTTCATGAATAAAGCTTAACTCAGAAATACTAAGGAAGTGGTATTAACTGGTATTACTCCTTGGCCTCCAAGGATCTCAAACATTCATCATTTTCATCTCATCTGTAACAGGGCAGGAAGTCGGAAAAAAGCTTTTTTTGGGCTCAATATTCCACATAGAGAGAAATTTTTTCCTTCCAGGTTGTCTGGGGTTGGGCACACTTAAGAGTCAATATTTTATTCATGATCCTGTAGTCATTAAGAAGAGTCTAGACATACAAACCATTGACATGGAACACCTATTGGATGGATCACTTCCTGAGCCACTTACAGTGCTTGAGTCTGATGGGAGCTGACTTCAGACAGTAGGAATGGAGGGAAAGAATTCAACTTGACCATTTTTTTTTTCAACTTGACCATTTTAAACAAAAGGAGCAATAGAAGTAAAACCCAAGGCCACGGTGACAAACTTTTCCACTTCCAGAATTTTCAAAGACAGATGGGCGTTCTGACCCCATCTGGAGCTGACAATTGCCAGTAAAACGAAATCTGTACCAAGTCATGAAAATTATCAGCATCTCATCACTATATGCAATTATTTTTAAACAGATTTTATATAAATAAATATTTAAATAAATAAGAAAAGAAAAAGAAAAACTGATCAAGTCTTCAGAAACAGTCTTGAGTCTGAATTAGTCTCCTCTCAGTTACGCTATCAATGAGTCTTTGGAAATGCATCTGAAGGCCAGGCATGCCCATGTCATCCTTTGAGCTGAGGTGAATTGCAATAACTCTACTATACACGTACATTCTCTGACATTCTACTCTTTTATGACAACAGTTAAAAATGTCTTTCATCTGTTGTCAAATAGTCAGATGAGGTGAGAATAAGCTGGGTGTGATGGTTATATGTCAACTTGCCTAGGTCATGATTCTCAGTGATTTGGCAGTTACATACTGCTGTTACCTGGCAGGTATCTAGCGATGTAGTCATTATCCATTTTCATATAATGACCTTGTCTTTGGAATGGAACTACACTGCTAAGTGAGAAGTAGATGCATATTAGATATAATTCACTTAATAAATTTAGCAGGAAATCAGATGGGTTATAAGCAGAAAATGTTGGATAGAATTGTCTTGAGACCTTCACGTCCAATAGATTATTGATGAGATCTCTCTGATTGCAATTTTATGATGCTTGAGCAAATAGTTCAAACATAGATTAAATGAAATCTGACCACATTTCCAGTGCTTTCCCTCCTTCTTTACCATTTGCTACAAATTCTGACCTCTTGAACCTCTTCAAATATCAAAGGGACTCCTAATGCCATTTTCAAACAGAAATTAGCTTGATTCTATTGACATGGTATTGGCTGTAATGATGGCATCCCAGTGAACTGAAAGCTGTGTTATTGTGAAATATCTGAAATAGAGGTTGTTGGTGTCCCATGTTGAGAGTTCAACTACAGCCTTCCTTTGTGTGTGAATATGCGTTATAATTCTTTAGGGTTAGAATTAGCACACCACAGGCCTCAGGCCAACTCTGATCTGCTACTGTCTAGATCACAGTGTTATCCATTCATTTACTTATTTATGTTTGCTTTCAAACATTAACAGATGGGAGTTAAGTATGACAAAACCTTTGACATGCAAAGCTTAAAATACTCTCTACCTATATGCAGAAAAGCCTGTCAATCCTTGCTCTAGGTACCGAGAAGGAGGATTGCTGTGTCATAAGAAATTATGATATCATTTTCCTGAGCAACATTTTGCAATCCCACCAAAAATGGATGAGAATTTTAGTTACTTTACATCTGTACTTTATCAGTATTTTTTCCACTTTTGTCATTCTTATAATTGTGCAGTGGTACCTTATATGGTCGGCATTTGTATTTTTCTAATGACTAATGATATTAAACATCCTTTCAGGTACTGTAACTGTCATTCTTATTGCCTCCTTAGCAAAGTACCCGTTTTTGAAAACTCAGTCCCGCTGCCACCTCTGTTTTGTTATTAGGTGCACCCAGTGAAGTTCTTTATTTAAGGTACTGTATTTTTCAGTTCTAAGACTTTCATTTGGCCCTTTCTTTTATTAAAAAAATATTTTGTTGTTGAGAATCTACACAACAAAACACATTAATT